TTTTTTAGCATTTGTTTTTTGCAGACCAGTTCTCAGCATCAAGCCACACATCTGGTCCCCTTTCCCCCGTTCTGTTGAAGGAGTGCTTTTGGTTCCTTTAAAACGTCTCCCCTTTATCTCAGACAAACGCAGGAGTGACATGCAGTCATACGTAAGGAGCGTTTGACTGCTAGGTGCCAGTCATGGTAGAGCCATCGTCAGCCCCAACAGCAGGGCCATTGTCGCCGGTGCAGCCCTCACTACCGATACGGGCGTGATGCTGATGCCGGTGCCGGGTGGGGATTCTGCAGCCGCAGGCCAGCCTCAGGGCCCTGTCGCCATGGTGCATGCATATCCAGCGTAGTTACTTAGCATTTCTGCATCTAGCTTGTCTGCAAGGAGCCTGTGGGAGAACGAGCATCCTCGGGCTTTGGCGAAAAGCTCGTGGGCATGTTTACCATCCACGGATGTCAAATGTCCCAGCGAAGAAGTGGCACTTCCCTCATCTCTCAGTTCCTTTTATTTAAGGAGACATTTTTTAAGTGAACTTTGATCCCTGCTGGGGACATTTTTCATCTCCTTCTCCATGGTGAGATTTGTCTTTCTTAAAATGGCGATAAAGAACCGGCACAGTCTGCGTGGCCTGAAGACCCCGTGCAGAGATAAAGGGGGTCCGTGGGAGGACGTTCGACTGGTTGGTTTATCTGTTGCTGCCCTCTGTTGGTCCTGATGAATACTTTCTGCCCAACTTTGGTTTCTTTATAATGCACACAGTTTTCAGAACCTGTTCTTTATTTTGCAAGGTCTTGGTGCGATTCAAGGGAAACAAGTCTAGATCACTAAGAGTATTTCTGTAAGTGGAAATGTATTATTCTTTGTAATAAGCAGAACAACCAATAGCATCCTCTTCTCTTAAAAATGAGGTTTAAGAGTGTGAGCTTGGGGGCCCCATCTCAAGTCTGATAAGCTGTCACCTTTCTAAGCCTCAAAGTCCTCATCTGCATTATACCTGCATCTTATTAGTGCTAGAGGATTAACTGAGCCATAAAGGGCTTTATACAGCATGTGTGATACTCACATAACAAATAATATATGCATTTACATAAGCAGTTTGTTTGCATCTGGCACGATCATTCTAATATAGGATAGCTGAGTAGGTGTGTTTGCCTATCAGATGATAAATCCTTTGAAGGCGGCCTAGGGTCACACATCTGGTTACATTCCCCTTCCCATAAATAAAACCCACCATACAGTGGGCATTCATTAACTGAGTCTCATTGGTTCCAGAAAGTTGAGCATGTATAATCTAATAAAGAGGTTGATTTTTTTCCCCCTCCCAAGTTTACATATGTTACTGGAAGCACAACACCAGGCTTTTCCAGCTCATTACTGGTCCCTCAGATAACTGATCCTTCAGGCCTGCGCCCCAACCCCCAGCATGACCAGTGAGTGACTGGGACGATTGGAAGATGATTTTTACCTGTCTCTGTCAACATAAGACATGATACAATTTGCTAATGTGATGATTAGCCAAAAAAACAGAGAGATGCAGACACTCACTTGAGATCAGGAAAAAAAATCACAACAGAAGGGTGTTATTTCAAGATCATGCATTTACGATTTCTACGCGCTTTGGGCTTTTTGATTTTTCTTCTATTTCAGGTGCTGCTTTCTTGGAGCCCTGTAC